TTCACAGAGGTAGACCCTGTAAATTTTCCCCGGGGTTCGCATGATTTATCGCGGCTCGGCGGATCACAGTAGCCCGGCGCGGAGAGGGACTTGTGCCGGAGGAATGCCAGGCGGCACCGGCGGCACAAAACAATTTGGGCAGTGATAAACGACGCGGGGATGGCACCCTCAGACAACATTTCACTCCCTTTTGGCAGAAAGTTTCCCGGCTGCATTCTTGGTGAAGTCAGGCTCCAAAACAGGTCTCTTCTTGTCTCCCACAGGCGTTGCTGACACGGCGTCCATGCCAGTTTTACTCTTCACTGCCGTCACAAAACTCCGAATTAGTTGCCACAAACTACACATTGAAACTGGTAGACATAACCGCACTCCCCTAGAACAACGAATATGTCGGTACTGTGATCAAGGAAGAATCGAAGATGAGAACCATTTTGTAACTATACCACAAAGAGAGAGCAGATCTTTATAATCTGATACAATCTATGTTCCCCCTCTTTATACATCTAAGCTGTACAGATAAATTTATATTTGTAATGAGCTTTAATAGACAAACCTTCTGTATTGAAACATATCTGTTCTTACCTTTTTACCATTACCAAGAAACGAGAAGAAACTGAATTTACTTGATTGTAGCTACTAGACGATGTATGTATGTAACGTTATCTATATTTTATCCTTTTACTGTGACCTGTACTTAACCCAGCGGGTATGTGTGTACAATAAAGGTCTTCATTCAGCCTTCTTCCAGTAGGAAATGAAGTGACACAGTTTGCAAACTTTTGCTATGATCGATATTGTAATTAAGATAAATTGAGGATTAGTGTCGTCTTGTTGCTGACGGTGCATTATACAGAAATGAGAGAGATATCCTCTATACTTGTATACTAGACAAGTGTTCCAGTCTTTAGACATTTAAGAAGCGAGTTGAACTAACCTATAAATAAATTAATTAATATGCATAGTTTAAGTAAGACATTACTGTAATTTTTACCCTGACTTGTACTTTAATAGCTTGTAAGAGCATAAAACGTACATTAAAAGTCTTTCATTTGGTGGCCCTCATGACTTGAAAAATGGAGAAAAAGATATGTACAAAGCAGAAGATTTCTTCATCTCTTCCTACAGCAAACGTTAGAAAACATCGCATATGTCTTAGGAAAAGATGGAAAGTTTGTCTGAAATCGTATGACCAAGCTTAAGGACGTTATATCAAGTCCTTGATGTGACCAAGGTTTGAACCTCCTTGGTATGACCTAGCCTCCTTCGCAGTCTTGTTGGGCGTCGGCGTTATTTTTTCTCTGAGCGACGCGAGTAATATGCGGCCGCGAGGGACGATTTGCTGCCGAGGGAGTTTTTGCCACGGAGAGAAGGATTCGCGCTCCAACGCTAACTCTCCACGCTAACTGATATGACTTCTTTTAACCAAGGACATTGTGTATAATGTCCTTGTTTTAACTAAGGACAGTATAATGTCCTTGTTTTAACCAAATTGATTTTAAAAGCTCCTTGTTCTATCAAGGGTCATCCACTGCTCTCCAAGCAGAGCAATAATGAATGAATGAAAGACCTTCATTGTACATTTATGCTAATCTCCAAGCAGATCTTTTGGTGGGGGTAAGACAGTACTACCAGTCTGTATTAAACCATTTCCCCACCCAAGATCTGCCTGCAGTCAAAACGTCGGTGGGGAAATGGTTACAGACTGGCCAATTTGATACTGTCTTACCCCCACCAAAAGATATGCTTGGAGATTACATTTATGCTCCAACAAGATAGTAAGTACATGTCATGAATGAAACACAACTTCTTCGTCTTTGCAAGGACGTGCCTGCCGGTAGTCTTCAAGCAGACGCCCTCTTGTGTCAAGTAGAGTTGGAAGCTACAGGTACCAAGTGTTGGGCGTCTGGTGTACGCAACAGTCTAGAGAAATGCGGTTATTCTTTCGTCTGGCAAAACGTTCAATCAATCGGCTCAAATACGCCCCAAATTATCTCAGCAATTTATCAGCGTTTAAAAGATATTCATTTCCAAACATTTCTTTCCGAAATCCACAACGATAATAAAGTTGCTAATTCAAAAAATAAACTTCGAACATACAGACTATTGAAACACTCATATAACGAAGAAGATTATCTTAAGATCGCAAATGTACGTCACAGATCTGCCATTACTAAACTAAGAATCAGTTGTCACAATTTGCGAATTGAATCAGGAAGACATAACCGCACTCCTCTAGAGCAAAGAATCTGCCAATATTGTAGTTTAGGTAAAGTAGAAGACGAGGTACATTTTATTGTGGATTGTTCCATGTATGACAGCGAAAGAAACGTTCTTTTCGATTTTGTGTCAAGCAAATACTCCCAATTTAAGTATTTGAATAGTATAGAGAAATTTATATTCCTTGTAGTCTTTAACAAACCAGCTTTAACTACTCATACAGCCAACTACATTTATAAGATTACCAGAAAGCGAGAGGAAGTTGAACGTACTTGTGTACTATAGCCGTTTTATTATCAACATTGATGATGTACTTTGTCAATATGTGACCTGTCTTTAGCCCAGTGGGGCAAAATGTACAATGAAGGTCTTCATTCATTCATTCACAATAAGGAGATGAATAAAATAGATAGCAACATGTATATTAGCTCCATGGTCTAATTCAAGGGAGCAACCTAAAATAGACAAACAGTAACTTTAAGAATTATGTAGTACTTAGAATCCTAGTATAGAACTCAAACATACATTATGTATGTATGCACCACATGTATTTTATACTGTGACAAAGCATGTATGCATTTAGCCCGTCTGGGCAAGGATATGCAATAAAGATCATTTCATTTCATTTCATTATTCATTATCTCATCCCAGCAGCAGACTGTCGGAGTTGACGAAATTAGCAAAACGGTGCAAAAGACCAAAGTAATGTGGCATGCTTTATCACATAATTGGGGCCCTTTATCAAAGATTGAACACCACGATCATTCAAAACCCTGTCACACTCTGTGCTGACACCTGGGTGACATATAGCCTTTAACAGGCTTCTGGAAGCGGCTGCAAAGAGAAGAAATTAGACCAAGGACGTTATATCACCGATGACATGCCAGGAGAGTTGGTCCGAGCTAAGTGAACAGTTTGCCGGACCAACTCCCCTGATCTCCCCTGGCATAATCTGTCTATTGGGCCAATTTATTCTCTTTCCAGTCCCTTCTCTTACCGAAGCCTGGTAGAGGCTAATTAGCACGGGACTGCCTGTACGTTGTGAAACGGACAGTGACCTCATTTTGATGTGACGTCATCCCTCCTTGTCGGTACAAAGGTAACCTTTGACACTACATTGTTGGAAAGAACACGGCTTCATTCATTGCTTCAAACAACCTAACTATAACGAGGTCTGGTCATTCAACAGACGCGTGTGAAATTTATTGGGACTATTATTACGTTTTCCATGGTTTACAGAAGAGAAGTCAAACCCTTCAGACATAGTTTTAGACATAGTTATAGTTCTAGACAGCTACCTTTATCATATTCCATTGTTCTTGTATGTTTTGTAATTTGCAATTAGCCTCCGGGCACGAACTTGCAATAAACTTTTTCATTAAATTTAACATTGAATGCCATTTTTTGTATTGTTCGTTAGATTATCTTGCATGCCGGCCGGGTTTGACACAGATCTATGAACAAGCGTACTAAAACGTCCTTGAGACAAGTTGAGTTGTCTGGTGCCCTTGTTTCCAGCCGACCTCCTTTTTCACGACAGACCAAGGACGTTACGTTCATAAGTACGTGTTTCACGGTGGGAGTTATTCAGTGACATAAACTGTACTGTAAATATAATTTTTAAACTTTGAACTAATCGAGGAACACCTGTTGCTATACGCCGAAACACTTACTAAAGTAACTGGATTTGATTATGGAATTGAATAAACTTATGCAGTGTTTTCTTACCTTGTAACGCTAAATATAATTCTATCTAATGATAGATGTATTCCAGTTGCGTGAGTTACTGTTTTTGGCGTATCTTATTACCTGGATGTCTAACCTTCACCGACGTACCTGTTGATATAGTTGAGCAATGTCACTAGGTTGCAAAATACATGTAGAAATTGTTTTATTCATTCATTCTTTAACTTTTAAAATTCTACCGGGAGTCCCAATTCTGAATCTAAACGCACTAAAAGAGTTGGAACATATTTACCCCCAGTGCTTTAAAAGATGGCTCTGCTCTAAAGCTCTGAAGCCTTGTCTAGTCTAAGAAAATATCTTTGGGAAGATATTTGAAACTGCATTCAAACTTACTGTGCAGTGTTTTCGTATTCATGATTTGGAAAAAGAAAACTAACGTTACATCATCGATGTTGAGGGATAAACTTATGCAGTGTTTCTCTTTCTGGGTAACAATAAATATTAAGTTACATAATGCGCGCCCCTTCATGATATTATAATTCTAAAAATTTCTATGTAATGATAGATGTATCAAACGACGACAAATTGAAATTGTTCAGAAAACTAGTTTAAGTAGTTACACTGTAACGTTACGACATTTCATCGCTAAAGACCGTAGTGCAAAACGTGACACAGGAAAACTTGTCAATATTTGCATAAACTGAACATGTATTAACTTGATAACTGTCTTAGGAGTTGTTTTCAAAGCTTTATGAATGTAAAAATCAAAACTAATCGAAGGTTAATGTTTGTTTTTTTCACAATAGAAAGTTGTCTCATGACATTTCGCTGATCACAAGATAGCATAGCAAATGCATGACGTCATTTGGGCTTATCAAACTCCCGCCTAAATATGTAGGTCAATGACCTTTTAACTCCGAAACAAAACTAAGGAATCCAAAGGTAAACTGTTGATTTTGAAAAACATAATTTAGCATATCTATTATATAATTGGTTTAGGAGAAAACTTTTCATATAGCTGAGTTTATTGCGAATATTCAAGGTGTTTTGTGCAACATACTTGTCACCCCTGCACATTTTATTGGAATACTCTCATAGTGTCACATGACCCAAAATGGCGGACGAAAATATTGAAGAAACGAAAATCACGAAAAACATCGGAGAATTTGAAGGCGTCGCAGTAGGATACGAGGTAAAAATCCAACTCAAACGATACTAGGGTGTTGTTGACTTGATATGAGGGCATACGCCCGGCACTGGCATGTTGACAAGTGTGGTATTTTTTACTAAACTGTAGGGGTGGGTGGGGGGCGAAACTATTTTGATGCAAGCTGTGAAAAATCCAAATGATTTTTACCACGAAACTGTTTAAACAAAATGATGGGTTGTTCGTAGGTCACGGTTTATACAGGGACTCGATATTGTCACTAGATCTACTACAGATCTTTATCATAAATATTCGACTGGCTACTTTGCTAGTGGGCTACATCCATAATTTCCAATTTTATATAACGTTAGCTGACAGTTTGACAAATATTATTTTGACATATCTGATATCTTATACTATCATAGGTACAAATGTACAAGTATAGGCCTGGTTGGGGAGCTCTAAACTAGTAATGTAGTAAGATTAATTTAAGGGGTTGTCAATAATGGCCGACAATTCGGCCGATGGACATTAACGGAAGAAGAAGAAGAAGGTTGAGAATTCCATCTATAGAAGACTTCTATGAATTTTATAGTGTCAAGAAAATAGAGGTAACTGTTAGTTCCTTGTGATTATGACTTGCATTTTTCAGAAGGAACTTTGTATTCTTGTTTCACATCCTATGAAACCCTAATTCTTCTCCTTGCAACTCTAGAACCAGTGTGTTGTTAACTTATTTTCCATTCACTCTTGATACCCAAGCATAGTACATTCCCTCGATTTAACGATTAATAAAAATGTTGATATCTCGCTTAATATTTCAGCGTCACTAACGAAAGGTAGTGGATGCTGCCTGAAATGTTCAAATGACTGTTTCCAAAATCATATCCAGAACTTTGCATGACTATTGAGTTACTGTTTTTTGACATATCTTATTACTAGTACCTGGATGTCTAACCTTCATTGACATATCTCACTTTATCTTTCAGTAGAGTACTTTTTTCAGTACTTTGTTATGCTTTCTGATGCAATATTGTGTGATTTGTACTTTGAAATTTCAGTCATTTTGCAACACAGAAGTATAAAACAAGTTGAAGGTGAAAGACTGGTTGATCTTATATGTTATACTTGGCTCTACTTCAACTGCAATTCAGCTTTATTGATGCTCTGACTTCCGTAATTATTTAAGTAGGGCTCGAAATACTTGGTGCATATGTGGCTCAGTGCAGGTAAAATTGGAGCTGTGCAGGTATTTCTGATGTCTACCTGCACCTAACCTGCACTGGTCCATGTAATGAGCATATGCAGGTTAGTGCAGGTAAAATTGGGGCTGTGCAGGTATTTCTGATGTCTACCTGCAGCTAACCTGCACTGGTCCATCTGGGTGTATGTGAATTTTTATTTTCTACATTGCAACCTAAGAAGTCTAAAAGAAATAATGACAATGGTTCCTGAACAATTTTTAGTATGATCCATTACTTTCTTCAAAGTGTGAGTGGCGCAGGTAAAATTTGTGCAGGTAATTTTCAATGTTACCTGTGTAACAGTGGGGGGGGGGGTTTATAGGCACTACCAACTGACCCGGCTGATGGGTCTAGACCTTTTCAGCCAAGCGGTTTGTGTGTCCGCGTGTGGACTGGTGCCCGGGTTTGGTCGTGGGTTCGAAGCCCGGCCCGGGACCAGTGTTTTTTTTTATCTGTTTCTACTGGCTCCTCCTGTTTCTTACACCTGCACCAGTATACAGAAACTCTAGTATTTCGAGCCCTGTTTAGGAATGTATGCCAAGGGTGGTAGTACAAATGTAGCTCAGCTAGTTGCCTTCAAGGTCCTTTACATGATGCCAGTGCAGCGGTATTTCCAAGATGACCATGGCAGGCGGAAAGCTGGGTGGCGAAGATTCAGACAAGTCTATTCACTGCGTGGTTTGCGGAAAGACCGCGACAGACACACGGGAGAGAAACAGCTTCTACGACATCTTTCATCACACTGATTCCACCGCCGGGCGCAAGCTTCACCTCCGTCTACAAGCCGTTCTTGAGGTAGCCATCAACGAGCGACGTGTGTCCTCAAAGTGGCTGTGTAAGGGGTGTTACAGGAAGGTGGAGAAGCTGGAAGCTGCAAAGGAACTAAAGAAAAAGCTTCAGTCTCTCTTTTACCACACCGACGGCTGCCACCAAGCGCCACAATTCACCAAACAAGATGGACCAGTGACCAGTTATAACCTTACGTGTTCAAGAAAGACTGGACGCATCAGTAGAAGTGCTTCCAACGCGTCCTCCCCTCCCAAAACAAACAGTGACATGACATCTTGCTCCGAGAGGCCAAGTGTAGGAGATGTTTTAAACCAGACAGACAGTAATAATGACTGTTCTGTTTGCGTTGGAGTTTGGGTGAGGCAGAGCCAACCATGGCCAGTATCGGAGCATCCGCTGTCTCAAAAACAGGTACAGGGAGACAGGAGGTCGTATTTGAAATAATGAATGTTTATATCAATGCCTGAGCTGTATTTTGAATGACAAGAGGTCAAAATAACAGAAGGTCATAAGGTCAGACACAGGAAATGGCTCTGGCCAGGTGCCGGTAGGAATGGGAGGGAATTCAGGAAGCAGAGGATTGCATGATGAACCCTCCAAGACTTAGCCTGGATGCCAGACCCATAACATTATATTGTAGGCCCCTACATTCATAGGTACTGACCTGTGTAGGCCCTGGAAATAGTCTGGCACCTAGGCTATTCAATACTTCCCAGAAGTTTGAAATGTCTGATTTTTTGTTTTTCTTATTCTGCAGGAAGTGACCTGTGTAGGCCCAGGAAACAGCCTGGCACCCAGGCTATCCAATACTTCCCAGAAGTTACTTTGAAATGCCTGATTTCTTGTTTTTTTTCAGGTGGAAACGGGAGAGGAGGTACTGGACAGACAGCTGCCTACAGTCGATGCTGAAGAAAATGGCGACTCTGGTCCAATCTTAGAGGGAACACAGGTAGTTATATTTGTTTCTCGCTACGCAAACATATTGGCATAGACATATCATAGGAAAGTTTCTGTATGAACAACTATGAAAGAGGTGCTAGTGTCACGGAAATAAAAAGAAACCTACAGTGGGCCTCACTGGAAGACAGAAGAAAAATGTCCAGACTATGCATGATGTACAAAATGACTAATAAACTGGTGGACATCCCAACTACTAAGTACCTAATACCAGCCCAGAAGAGAACAAGAAATAGCCATGCCTTCAAGTACCAGAGTTATCAACCAAGGATTGAGGTGTTCAAGAATTCATTCTTTCCAAAAACTATCGCATAGTGGAACTCACTGTCACCAAGTACAGTAGGAACATTGTCATTAGATAGCTTTGAACAATGTCTAGAGTTAGAAGATCAAGGGTAAGGTGTAACAAGTCGATCGGTTACTGTTACACCGAAAGGCGGTTATACTGGCTATACAGATACAGAAGCTGGTGTATTACGCCAAAACAGATACAGATACAGATATTAGATCACCAGGTTTCCATTCTATGTATTCTAATAATTTCTATGTATTCTATTCTAAAAGCTTTTAACAAATTTCTAGTCAGTAATAACTAAAGCTTAATTTTTAAAATAAAATCTCATCCTCCTGATTATTATGAAATTGGTCACCAGTTTATAAAACAAAGGACTTCATAACTCACATCACCCTGATTATTATCATATCTTTCCCCTTTTTTAGCTGTCATATCTTGGTCATGAGTGTGAGTCAATCCCAGAATTCCTTGGGCAGGAGTATGGCCAGATTGTGAAGAGACTGGACCTGAGTTTCAACCAGATTCGGTAGGTCTATAGTTATGTTTACTGATGTTGATGATGTATGTTTTCCTTCGGTGGCAGCGTACAAAATACCTGGATGCCCAGTTGCCCCAGGCAACCAAATTTTACTTGGGGCAACCTATTTTTGAACCTAGGTAGCCCAGTGTGCTACCTTAATTTAAGAATCCCCCCCCCCCCAAATCATGCCCACTTGGCTTGCACCACTGTATCCGGCAGATCCTTTTTAATTGTAGGTAACCGTATTAATGGCTATTACTACTAGTATCAGTTAACTAAAGGCTGTTAGAAATATTGTCAAAGGCTTATGTATGTAACATTACTTAATTCAAGGAAAGTAGTAACTTATAGGTGGAGCAACCTAAAATTCTGATGGGCAACCTAATTTTTGCCATAGGTTGCCCACAAAAAAGTATTTTGTACACCGTTCGCGCATACTGTTTTGCTTTGTTTCTTCTTTCTCTTCTTTCAAAAAGTGCAAGAAGGTCAATTTATAATGTCAGTTATGTTGAATGGATGAATAAATGAATGAATGAACTTTATTATTCCTCAACAGTTGTATAGGGTATATTCTATGGCAACAATGACAAAGCAATCAATACAATAATACTACTTTAAAAATTATGAATACAGGAATATGGACGTAAATGGAGTATATGATGTACATTGAACACTTCTGTCTGTTACAATACATTTTCTCTGAACAAGATTCTATGAATCTATGTTGTTTCTTTCTGAGTTTAGGAGCTATCTACCGTCCAAAATTCATGTCCCTAACTTGTCCAGATCATGAGATAACGACTGCATCACCATAACAATCCGCGGGGGGGGGGGGGCAAAATCCTATCATTTTTAGGTCTAAAATCCTATCAAGTCCTTAATCTCGTCAAGACCTACCCATGTACCAAATATCAGGACAATCCGTGCAAGCCTTCTCGAGTTATTGTGTTCACAGACGGACTGACAGACGCACACACACACATACACACACAAAGGCTCCCCAAAACATAACCTTCATGGCAAAGGTAAGTATTCACTTGCCTGGACAAATGTTGAACTGGGAAGGCTACCTGGTCCTAAGGCCATATCCTTGTCGTTTTTTAAAACTGTTGTATTGTTTTTTGTAAGATCTCTGCCGAAAAATCCCTTGTAGCAGGCTTCTGTCCTCTCCTTTGTTGACATCATACTTTTACGAGAGATTAAATCAAACTTAATAACCTTTCTTCTTTTAACGTTCTATAGATACTATCGGCCAATCAATCAATCACTTTTGTTTGCATAACATGTGCTGCGGATACAGGGTATTAGGCCACAACAATTTAATTTCTTGGTTAACAGATTTTTCTAGAAAAAAAAAATGGAGCGGGTGGGTGAAAAAAATAAAAATAAAAACAGGCCTAGGCATCCTATTATGGCCCAAAATGGTACGATAGGGGCCATGAAGTCAACACACCAGGCTGGTTCAAAACTTAAACAATGAATTTTGAACTTTTAATGATACCACTGCATTGAAAGATGGAATAACTGTAACAACTAGGAAGAAAAGGACTGTTTTCAACTGTTCAGGGCAAAATATGAGCATTTTGCAGTTGATCCTGAATTTTTTTTTTACAAAACAAAAAAAAATGAAGCGGGTCTTTAAAATAATCCCTATGCATTGTTAAACTTAAGTGGACCATTTTAGCTGAAATGTAAAAAAAAAAAAAATCCCTACCTACCGACACTATTTTTTTCAGGACTGAAACCGGAAACACAATATTAATTTTCGTAGGCCTTACAAGCAGTGTGTACCTTACAGTTTGTCACACTGTGATTAATGACTGGTATACATACACACATGTTACCTAAATAGCCAGTACCGTCAACTTGGTTATAATGTGTGCTTTGATGTGTTCACATTCTTTTGTCCCAGGCACGATATGTACTTTTCCCCTTGCTAAGTTCTCTACTGCTATTTTAGTTACCTCATGGTCACAATTACATGGAGGCCCGCATGCCCTTTTCCGTAGAGCGTAATTGGCCATTTTAATTCTACGTAGAGCCAAGAGAGACCGCTCTAATTCAACGTAGAGCATTAGTTGGCGCATTTTGCGTAGAGCGTATTCGCCGTAATCCGTTGTAGCCACTTGGAATTTATCAAAGTGACTAGAATATTGACTTAGAAAACTTGGCTTTCCAAGTCTTAAAAACTGCCCTTAAACTCCACCTGAAACGCCAACGTGCAAAATACCTGGTTGCCCAGTTGCCCCGGGCAACCAAATTTTACTTGGGGCAACCTATTTTTGGACCTAGGTAGCCCAGTGTGCTACCTGAATTTTAAGAACCCCCCCCTCCCCCAAAATCATGCCCAATTGGCTTGCACCACTGTATCTGGCAGACGCTTTTTAATTTTAGGTATTAATGGCTATTACTAGTATGATAGTATCAGTTAACTAAAGGCTGTTAGAAATATTGTCAAAGGCTTATGTATGTAACATTACTTGATTTGAGGAAAGTAGTAACTTATAGGTGGGGCAATCTAAATTTCTGATGGGCAACCTAATTTTTGCTGTAGGTTGCCCACTGGGCAACCTGGCTCAAAAAAGTATTTTGTACACTACTACTTGCACACAAGGTAGCCACTCCACACGTCCCTCCGCCACACCATCGCGCCCATTTTTCAAACTTATCTGGGAACCACATCTCGCCAGACCTCCTGTTCGCAGCATGACTCCGGGAGACGCGGGCAAAGTACATTAGCGGGGCCCGGGATTACCGTACGATTGATGCGAAGAGATGTCCTCTATACGGAGGTAACAGGTAGTTCAGTTACACTTACACTGTATGGGGTAGCGGCCTGACCTGGTAGGAAATGGGCCCACATAGAAGTATACAAATGGCAGCTCTGCTGGCTTTTTCTTATCATGTGTAGTAGCAATCACTCATACTCCAACACAGAAATCTCCAGGGTTACGTTAAAAGAGGGCTGGATGAATTCCCGTGAGAGTCAAATTTTTCATTATGTTGTCAGGTTATCCTAGTTGATTCTGTATCTATGTGAATGTTGAAATGACAAATTTATCTAATTTGTATAAAGCTTTGTTAATGGACTGATAATGGCTTATTCTATTGCTGGAAATTGGCCGGAATATAGTAATTAATGATGATGACGTGTGTAATTGTTTCATGTCCAAAACCTTTTTAATTATATTTTTTCATATTTTCTTCATCTTACAAAATGATCAGTGATTTAAGAATTGGAACCCTAACACTAGTAACAGATAGTGGTCAGTGTCAATTACTGATATCTACTTAATTTTTTTCGTGGTACTTTTAGATTAAATAATTTGCTTTCTTTTTTTCTCTGCCACTCTCCCTGCCACTGTGAACATATTGTTCTTTGATGATGTCCATTTTTTCTCAGGCTTCCACGAACATAAAGTGAAGTACAGTATTTGCAAATGATAGTTTTATAGATGTATGTTACATCATGCATTGTCTCTTTGATTTTACCTTTGTTTGTTTAGATTGACTTCTGCTAGAAGTTTTAATGCGGAGCAAAATGTAGTAGCACTTCATGCACTGTGTGCAAAGTTCTAGCTCATCCATAAGGCCACACCAATTTAATTTCTTGGTTAACAGATTTTTCTACAAAAATAATGGAGTGGGCGGGCGAAAAAATAAAAAATAAAAACAGGCCTAGGCATCGTATTATGGCCCAAAATGGTACAATAGGAGCCATGAAGTCAACACACCAGGCTGGTTCAAAATTTAAACAATGAACTTTTAACGATACCATTACCACTGCATTGAAAGATGGAATGACTGTAACAAGTAGTAAGAAAAGGACTGTTTTCAACTGTTCAGGGCAAAATATGAGCATTTTGCAGTTGATTCTGAATTTTTATTTTTATTTGCAAATCAGAAAAAAATGAAGCGGGCGAATCCGTTAACCAAGAAATTAAATTGGTGTGGCCTCATGCACTGTGTGCAAAGTTGTAGCTCATCCATAAGTGTATCTTGCCACCATAGCAATAAGGCTTTAGCACACTAGTGTTTCAAGTGTCAGTTCACTGCCCTTTTAACTTTGAAGTCTCCTTCTTTTGTAGCATAAGTGAGAAACTTTTTTGAAAGTTGTGACAGGTTTTAAGGTTTCAATCGAGCCATGTTACCAAATGGTGTCCTGATCATCCTACGTTCCCATTGTCCACCGTCCTTCGAGAGATCGCGGTTGTATACAGGGTTGTAAAAAATGACACCTCCTGACATTGCAATTCTATTTAGCACAAGACCTCCTTGTACCCACTGCCAATAAATCTCTGACCCCCAGCCCCAGAGGAGTTTTATGCCTTCTGCTATTTCATTTTGCATAGCCTCCGCTGTCAGGGAAAAGATTATGACCCTCCCAATATGTCACAGAGGGCACTCGAAGAACCAAAAAGAAGAAGAATAGAAAAATTGCCCGGGGAGGACCCATGGATCATGTATTGATGCCGGACCACGTTCCTGACAAAAAGTTCAATTACACACTTAAAAAGAAGTCATCAATATGGGTACTGCAGGAGCAATTAGTCATCCCAGGGCAGTCAATACTTTCTTCAAAGTGCTGTCAGATCGGGAGGTCTGATAGCTAGCCGGGTCTTCCCTCCGCAACCTTTCCCGCCACCTTTCTACCCTCCTGTCATTAGTCGCGTACCTAAGAACTCTCCCTGACCCGCCCGGATGCCTCGGCGGCCGGCTTTTGAAAAATTGAGATGTTCCGGGGCACAAAAAGATCCTCGGCGTCTGCCACAAAACACCATTTCCTGGGACGAGGAAATCGGAGGTGGAATGATGTTCGCGTACAAAGAGAGATGTTGGGATTGTATCGGGGATCTTAACCCCTTCGATGCCGCGATGTCTGAAGCAGTGTGCCGGAGAAGATTAGGGGAAAGACTGCTGTCAGTGTACGCAGAGCTTATCGACTATTATTGCTATAAGTGTAATTTGTGAGTGGAGCAGATTATTTGGAAAGCTGGCGGGCGATA